TTTAATATTCAGCTTATGATTGTCATAGATTAATGTAATATCTTTTGTTTTGAGTTGTTTTATGTGATTCATTTACTGAATTTTTTATGTAAGTTGTATTGATTTTGACTGCTTATTTGTGTTTTGATGAAATATTAAAAGAATAAAAAATAACAGAAAGAGTTTATCCATAGATTAAAGAAAACGATTTCAAAGAAGGTAAAAAAAAAACAAATTGTAAAAACCAGTTTTCTCTGATATAAAATAATGTTTGCTATTTCAATATTCTTTGTAAATCCCTGAGTATGAGAACTGAATCATCATCACTTAATTAGGTTTATGATCTCATCAAAGAACCATTGAAAATTTACCACAACCAATATATGTCACTGGAAAAAAAATTCCGGCTTCTATATCTTCCAGGTAAACGAAAATCATATTTACTTTGTCGGTTTCTATTATTAGTAATTTTTTTTCAAAGTTCATTGCTTAATCATTAGATACAAAATATTTGTGCGTATAAGTTTGCTTTTTCATATGTAATTTAAACTCAAAATTATATCGATTAAAGTAGCTAAAGAAGAAGAATAGATTGCAATTTCAGTATCTTGCTCTTTATTTAAATTCCATAGAAAACATATATAATAAGAATGAAATTAAATAAAATAAAAAATTTATTCACTTTGGTTGGAAGAAATGAGGTATAATCATTCAAAATTATTTAAAAGTTACCATAAATAATATGATACAAGACAAAAGTTGTCATGAATCTAAAAGCAAGAATTATAATTACTCTGAGAGAATCCGCACATATGCGCGGATCTTGTTTTAATTTATATTTAAATAGTATATTTTTAAATCTGTATTACATTTTATGTTTATTATCAATATTTTTGCGTTTAAAATATTTATATTTTCTTCGATTTCTTTTTGATGATACATTATTTGTATTTTTTTACACCGGTTGTGCCAAATAGTCTAATTTTTCTCCCAAAATAATAAAAGACTAAAAATCTATTATTTTAACTTTTGTATGAAAACGTAATAATTCACTTAAAAATATACGTTGAATATCAGAGAGGAATATTTATTTGTTCTTCGATCTTCATACAAATTCTTTTATTTTTGTAAATCTTACTAATTAAATACTTGTTAACTTTTTCAATTTACCATTTTGATTTTTTTTGTTCTATATATTTTATTGATTCGATTTTTTTTATTTAAAATAAAACCATGTATGACATTTGTATGTTCACACTTTTCTTTATACTATTATTTTTTAATAATTTTTATCTCTTTAATCGTTTATTAAATATTTTTGTGTTTAATAATTTATTAGTTGAAGTTTTATATAAGAGTATTTGAAACTTCTTAATTTATTCAGTCTCAATTTTTTTTTGCATTAAAATTTAGTATATGTTTAGTTTGAAAATAAAATTTAAATCACTTTAGAGAAGAAAATAGAATAGTGCATTTATAAAATCTTGTATTATATAATATTTATATTTTTTTCTATATTTAAATTAAAATTGAATTGCATCTAATGTATATATAAATATTTTAATATTTATTTATGTTTTTAATGTGTTTTGCTTTAAATTTAATTAATTATGTATTTTGTCAATTTTTGAATGTGTCACATGTCACTTTCTCCATTGCTGATGTGCCACTCAGCTGGAGAGAATAGATTGTCTTTTATATATAAGATTATTATTTTTCAATGTAGTATATTAAATCAGAAATTTTTATTGATTAAATTAGTTAAGAAAGTAAAATAATTTTTATTTTTATTATTTTTGTTATTTTATAAAAACGTATTGAAGATAAAATTAAGATACTTAAAAACAATGAATTTTTTATTTGAAGAACTGAATTATGATTTTTAATATTTGTATCATTATTATGATTATTAAATAGCATTTGATTAATTTGTTATACTTTTAGTTAGTTTTAATATACTAAATTATAAATATTATATGAAATAATAAGTTTTCCAAACTGAATATATATATATATATATATATATTTAAAATAAGATTATGAAACCTCAAAAATTAACTATAATTTTAAGATTAAAACTGCAATTTTCTTTAGACACATTATTTTTTTTTAATATACATAAAGTAATGTCTTATTATCAACATTAAAAATTAAGAAATTTTACAAATTATAATATTATTGATAATAAAACAAATATAAAAGAATAAAAAAATTATGTATCAAATTTTGTGTATATGTGTGCAACCATTTCAATTAAAAAAACAAAAGAATTAAATTATTTTTCAGTAAAGAATTGAGTCATTACAACGTAAAAGAGTCAACTTGGCTAAACTATCTATTCCCTCCGTTTTTTATTAATTGTCGTTTTAGAGAATTTTGTTTGTTTTAAATTAGTTGTCATTTTCAGTTTTCAATGCAACATTTATTAGGATTTTATTTTTTAGGATTATTTTTATTATGTAATTTGTTTTATTATTGGTTGAATTGTGTTTAAAGAGATAATTAATGATGTTTTTATATTGAAAAATTATACAATTAATATTTTCTTAATCTGTGTGCATAACCTTAAAACGACAACTAAATAAATCCGGAGGGAGTATTAAACTATTAGCTAAAAAAAGAATATGATGAATGGAGAAATGAGAACCAAATTTTTGTCGGAGCTACTTGGGTTAGAGTTGTTATGGAGCCGTAAGCAGACACATGTATAGACAACTATCGGTGCGACTCACTGCAACCTAAGAACGTTCGGATCATGTAAAACTCTATTGATTGAAGGAGAGATCAAAATCTCTTAAAAACTAAATAAAGAATTGGATAATACAATCCTATGATGCGAGTTAAACAATTTAATACTTAATGATCATCACTTCATCAGGAAGCATCAAAATTGTTACTCGTCTTCTTAATTATAAACTCCATTCATGGTGGTGGACGAAGTGCACATTAGCGCTAGTTGTGGATCGCCTTTCTCTCTCTTAGGGTTTAGTTAAGGTTGCTTTTCATGTACGAAACACTATTTTTTTCTGCTTTGGATTTCTGCGCTTGTCTATTTTCTCTCTCCGTAAGCTATTTTATGATCTCACCGATCTCACGTGAAGTCTTTACATATAGGGATTATCATTAGAAAATCTCACATGTATAAGATTAGTTTACTTGTCGAATTGAAAAAAGAAACCCTAGTTTTGTAATATGTAGAAGACATTGAAACACCGAAAAACAATCAGCAAAAATGTAACGTCCGTGTTCCGCGAACTTATAATGAGCCAATTTGTTTTAGGGAAAGAAGTGAATTGGGCCAGATCAAGGAAATGATGGTGAACAATGCATGTTAAAGGAGTGATCATATAAGCTTAGTCAGGGCCGAGAAACGAGCCAAGTGACTTAGTGGGATAAAAAAGAGGAAATTGTCGAGCTAAACCAGCTGTAAGAGATGAAGTAGCTGAGCTACTAGCTGAACTAGCTGGATAAGCGGATCGAGTACTGATCCAGCTGGATGGACTAACAGCTAGTTGATGAGGTAGGTGGGACTGTGGTGGCTTTAATTAGGTCATGGGCGGTTGGAGGATGCGACCAAAAGGTGCAAGGGATTAAATAACCGCTTATGAATCCTACGAGTGCGATCTAGACCCTTGGAGAAATAGACGACTTAGATCGGGGTGCGAATGATGGGCAGTTATGGAAAGAGACACCCATCTATATCCTATAAAAGGATGGCATTTTGTAGCTATAGGATCACCCACCCACACACACACAAAAACACGGAGATACAGAAAGGATCTATGGCCAAGGGAGATTTCTCAACCAAAACAGAAACTCGCCGAAGGCATGGACCACCAGGAGTACGGGAACGGAGCCAGGCCTACCGCAATCCAAACAAGGATTGTGGGCAAACGGTTGTTTCCAGACAGTAACACAGGGCCAAGGAAGTAATCTATGGCCAAGGGTGTTGATGGAAAAAGTGAAGATCTGGCTGAGAGTAGCCATGAGCGATCAAAAAGATCGACTGGGAAGGAAAGAAGGTTTGGATCAGGGGAAGAGATTGCAGCCTGGGAAGAGATTCATCAGATCAAAAATAGATTGGGGGAACAAGAACGCGGAAAACATCCGCGTGAATCACCATGGTCAATTGGGTGATCCATAACGGATGACTCGGAGTCGAACCAAGGGGGAAATGACACACAACAGGATGGCCGAGTGAAACAATATATAGGAAATTTCTTACGAAAATATTGGTAGGAAAATTTGACAGAAATTTTGGTAAGATTTTAGTTGAAAATTTCCTACTAAATTACTACCATTTTCCTTCGATTTATGTTCTTTCTAATTTCTTACGAAATATTACGTCCTACCTATTTCTGATGAATTTCTTACTAATCTTTCCTACTAATTTCTTATCAGTTTCTTATCAATATAATAAAAATAATTTCATAAAATTCAAAATAATGTATCAGATATAGTATGTTTTCTTGTAGTGCACAAATAATATAGACAAGAATTAATAAACAATAAATTTTTAAAAATGATCAAAATAAAGTGATATTCCTTGTATCAGTGAATGGTAGGAACTAGGAATGTCACTTTGTTTGCCACTCTCAATCTGCCTTTATCTAGCATGCAAGTCACATCATTGTGCATATATCACGAAACGTGTCAAGTCGTAAGATTAACGAAAAGCTGTTACTTGGAATATTAGAGGATCTACCATCCCTCGTTCACTTTCGTTAATCTGTACAATACACAACACAATGATAGTTTATTGAAAAGGACTCACCCGATGGCGCAAGCTACGTACCTTGGTTTCTCTCGTGGATTGATCTTTCAATGTATTGTAACCAATGATGCTAAGAAAGAAGATAACGATTCCAAGTGGAAGATGATACTTATGGAGTCACACACTTATTATTATAGGTTGGGCCTACTAGAGCCCATTTAGGATTCTTGCATATAAATGACTCCGAAGACTAGGGTTTCGTTGGTCTTAAGCTCAGAAGCGATTCTAGGGTTTGCAAAAATCCGCCATGAAAAAGTCTTCGGTAAGAAAATACTCAGACCCAATCCCAGTTGATCTACTTATAGATATATTCTCTCGAGTCTCTGGAAAGTCTATAGCTAGGTTTCGTTGCGTATCAAAATTCTGCGCATGGATACTTCGTCTTCCTGATTTCACCGAGTTGTTTCTGACTAAGTCTTCCACTCGTCCTCGCCTCTTTTTCACCGTAAAAGCTAATGGCAAGTCATTCTTCTACTCTTCAACTCAGCCTCAGAATCCAGATAAGAACTCTTCTCTTGTAGCCACCCGTTATGCGTCTTTTCCCGAATATTTTTCATCTAATATGTACTATACCCACACGGTCTGTGGATTGGTCTTGCGTAACGGATGGACAATAAGACAGCCGCGGGTAATTTGTAACCCTGCCACGGGAGGGTTCCTAACTTTACCTAAAGTGCTTATAAAAACAAACAACTTAGTCGAAGTGGAAGCTAAGAGTTCCCCCACGAAGATTTCAAGAATCTTACTTGGCTATGATCCGATCAGCAGACAGTTCAAAGTGTTGTGTATGACCTCGTCAAGTGATGAAAGACCCAATACTCATCAGGTTTTGACATTGGAGACTGGAAAACGTTCATGGAGAAGGATCGAACACAAGTTCCATTTTATTAAGAATTTTAGAATGCGTGGTGAAGTATGCTTAAATGGTGTTTTGTATTTCGGAGCTCAGTTTGGACAATCTTCTGTGATAGTTTCCTTCGACGTTAGGTCTGAAAAGTTTGGCTTTATTAACACAAATAAAGACTTGGAAGTAGAGGATTCTTCTTTTGGGGATTCTTTGACTTTGTTCAACTACAAAGGTAAATTAGGTATATATGATTGGGATATAGATCGGGATAGAGAACTTGTGTTGTGGGTTCTAGAAGATGCTGGAAATCATAAATGGTCCAAGCATGTCTACGTATTGCCTGATGTAATCAATGAGATGATGATGTTTGTTGGAATGACTAGTACAGGTGAAATTGTTTGGTCGTCGTACGACGACGTTGACCTAGACGACGACGACCTGGACGATGACAACGACCTGGACGAGGACGATGACCTGGACGACAACGAAGACCTAGACAAGGACGACGACCTATCAATCCTTTTCTACGTTTTCTTCTACAATCTCGAGAGGAAAACTTTAACAAGGGTCAGTATACAGGGAATAGAAGAGTTTAAGCATCATGATATAACTATTGACACCTTTTTACACTATGTGGAGAATATGAAGTTTATGTAAGTGTGTCCCAAGGCTTTCATATGTTACTTTGAGAGTCTTTATATTAGAACTTATCACACTGAAATAAGTAATTTATGTTTTCTAGAAGAGAGTCAACGTCAGTTTCTACTGTTTGGCTTTCGCTTCCTTTAATTTATTTGTTGATGGTTTCTTCTTGGTCCGATCATAGAAGTCATCTTCATCATTGAAAGAAAAAAGAACATGAGAATCACAACACAAGATACACTGCTATACTTTCTACATGAAAAATGAAAATTTAGAGATTGAACACTTTATGTTACCACTTCAGATTAACATAAAGGTTACCTCGGCTACTTTCTGCTCATTCCTGGCTATCTTCATAAGCAAACATGCGTACAAGGATGAAGCAAAGTAGGAGGAGTCTATGAATTAAATGAAATGTCTATAATTATATTTATGAATAAAGGAAAGTTAAATCAGCCTAAACTGAATTAGATACCAAAGGGTGAAACAAGCAGATTGAAAAGACAAATGTGAAGACTTAGTCAATATGCAGCTTACCTTCTCCAACCGTTTCAATATATTTTCTTTAGTTTTTTCTTGCTTTGGTCTGAGTTCTCCTATGTTTGCCAGTTGATATGCCATTGCCACAGTATCATAATTGATGACAATTTTGATGGTTGATTATCCAATGAGCTTTTAGGCCATCTCTACAATATGTGTTTGTGTAGGCGTGTTATGTTTTCGGAGTTTTGTTGTAGTATTAGACATCATCTCAAATTTGGTATAAAAATAATATCGAGCACCTAGTCGTTAGGTGGGATTATGTTTTCTTATTAAGGAAAGAATTGGATAGTTCAATCTTAAAAATGTGGGCTAAATTGTCATATATCTTCTTATAAAAGGTAGCTCTTCTCCATTCATGGTTGTGGAAGTAGTGCACATCAACGCTAGTTATGTATGGATCGTTTTTCTCTCTTAGGGTTTAAGGTTGCTTTTCACGTAAGAAACTCCATTTTTTGCATTTTGTTTTTTCGTAAGCTATTTTGCGTCTCCGCCAATCTCACATAAAGTCTTAATAATATAGAGGAATCATCATTCCTAATCTCATCATGAAATCTCGCGTGTATGAGTGTATCCGATTAGATTACTTATCAGAATTGAAAGAAAAAAAACCCTAGAATTATAATATATATAAAGGACATTGAAACAGAGTAGATTTAAATATAGTAATAGGCGAAAGCTGTAAATTATTTACATGAGTCACAATATTAGATTATATTTGAATTTTAAATTCTAGAAAGGCCAATCCTTATTTTGGACTTAGATGATGGCTCAATTAAAAATAAAAAAATCAACAACAATTCAATTTTTTTGCAGATTTTACATAGGCCAGTTGACCTCCTTCATTCTATGCTGCTTCCGCCACTTGTTATAGAAACCGTGGTCCTAAGACCATGTCTAACCCTGATACTCATGTTAGAATTTATCAGAATTTTTTAATAATATTTTTGGTGAGGGAAAAAAAAAACTGAACCAAAAAAATTACTTTCCATAATAAAAAATTAACTCCCTCCAACAGTTAATACGCGTGTGCCACGTACCATTGAACCTCGACGATACAGGTTCGTTCGGCTCATCTCTTTGAGACGGTATCAACGATTATGTGGACCAAAATGATTAAAACAAATTACATTGTACCCCGCTGATGAACTCGGTTGATACTGCGTTGTAGATAATCTAACAGATCTCGTTTGTTTGGCCCTCCATTCCACGTAAAAGATCAAGAGTTTTGATTAGTAATTTTCAGAATTGCAGAAATGTATTTTTAAACTCGATTCCGCAAATATTTTTTCAATCAACAAAAATCTGCAAAATAAAATATAAAACACAAAAATTTAGATTGTATTTTTACTTAACGAATACAAACAAGCTATTATGCAGAAAAATAAGTTTTAAGTAGATTATTTTGCAAAATTATTTTCGCCATGTATTTTCCGTAAAATTGTTACCAATGAAAACTAAATTTTTTTAACTTACACGGTTAAACCATATCCATAATGGATCAATTTTTTTTTTTAACTTAAACCCACACCCATGGAGAAACGAATTGGGTCCGACCCGGAGATTAAACTTCAAAAATTAATTCACCCACGGTAAAGAAAGTAATGAGAAACTGTTGAAATAAAGTAACAGGTCACACAAAAAAACCATTATTAAGTTACAGAAAAATAAGAAAAAGGGTTTTTCGACTTTTGTTTTCCTCGCCGTGGAGTTGTGGTGGGGATTCTGAGACCATGGAGGCGGAGAAAATGGAGTTGAAGCTCTACAACACGATGACGCAGCAGAAGGAAGTTCTAATTCCAATCAATCCCGGGAAAATCGGATTATACGTCTGTGGTATCACCGCCTACGATTTCAGTCACATCGGCCATGCTCGCGCCGCCGTTTCCTTCGATGTCCTTTACAGGTCTCTTTCTTCTCGAACAAATTTTTGTAATTAGGGTTTTTGTTTGAAATTGAATCTGTTAGATCGACGAGGTTTATATTGGGGATATGCAGTTCTGAAACCCGATCTCTTAACTCTAGATTTGAAGATAAAAATGTTTGAACTATTTGCATACGGGTTTAGCTTCTTCTTTAGTTTGAGGCTTGGATCAAGGAATGTTCTTGGATTCGGTATTTATTGTCTCTCTACGTTTACTGGTTATGCAGATACTTGAAGCATTTGGGCTATGAAGTTAACTTCGTCAGGAATTTCACAGATGTTGATGATAAGGTATGGCTATTTCTCTCGTCTTGTGACGTTCTGAATATAGCACAACTCACGAATTCACTGAAACATCCTGAATTTAACAAGACGTTTTTATGCGGTTTTGAGTCTTTATGTGCTTTTTAGTGAACTATTGGTATAACAAGATGAAAGTTACTGATCTCTGCAGATTATCAAACGAGCTAATGAGAATGGAGAGAACCCGTTGGAGCTGAGTAATCGCTTTTGCGAGGAGTATCTGGTTGATATGGGTGCTCTTCAGTGCCTCCTTCCCACACACCAGCCTCGTGTCAGCGACCACATGGATCACATAATAAGGATGATAGAAAAGGTATGTTTGGCTTGATAAGAGATCTCACATTCTTCTTCTCTTGGTCTACCTAAACGCTGTGTGTGATACGACATGAAGCTCGGACTTATCATGATCCATATGTTTGCCTGTTACAGATTATTGAGAAAGATTGTGGGTATGTAGTGGAAGGCGATGTGTTCTTTTCGGTAGACAAATCACCAAACTATGGTAAACTATCTGGGCAAATGCTGGAACATACACGAGCTGGTGAGCGTGTTGCTGTTGATTCGAGAAAGCGTAACCCTGCTGATTTCGCATTGTGGAAGGTTTGAGATTTCAAAATCTTTTCAACTTTCATATCTGACTCTAGAGAATTGGAGTTTATGATGAAATGAGGTTACTTTGAACAATGCAGGCTGCAAAACCCGATGAGCCGAGTTGGGAGAGTCCTTGGGGTCCAGGAAGACCAGGATGGCACATCGAGTGCAGTGCAATGAGTGCTCATTATCTGTCTTCGAGATTTGACATTCATGGTGGCGGTGCAGATCTGAAATTCCCTCATCATGAAAATGAGATTGCTCAGACATGTGCTGCATGTGAGGATGGTGGTGTTAACTACTGGTTGCACAATGGGCATGTCACTATCAATAACGAGAAGATGGCAAAATCAAAGAAAAACTTTAAAACAATCAGAGAAGTATGTTTCTTATTTGTTTCAACTATAATAATTGAATTTTCCTTTAAGTGTGTTCTCTGTGCTAAATGTAGAATTGTTAACAGGTTTTGATTCTTGTTTTGGTTTGAATCTGTGTAGATCACAGATAGTTACCATCCATTGGCTCTGAGGCACTTCTTGATGAGTGCACAGTACCGGTCTCCTCTGAGTTTTTCGGAGTCGCAGCTAGACAGTTCATCAGAAGCTTTATATTATGTTTATCAGGTGCAGTGCTTCAGATATGTTTCCAATATTACTCAACAGTTTGATTTATATGGTAACACAAAAATTTAAAGTTGAGACAAAGTGAATCTTTAGTCCTGACTATGTAACCTCTCATCTTTTTTTTTTTGTATCAGACATTGCAAGATCTTGATGATGCTCTCTTGCCATATCGAGAAGCAATGTCTAAGGACTCTGGAAAAGCTGAACAGACTGCAGAGGCCAAAGACATCATTAACAAGCTGAAAAGTGAGTTTGAAGCAAAGATGTTAGACGATTTGAATACCGCCCATATACTTACGGGTGCTTACCAAGATGCATTGAAATTTATCAACGCTTCTCTCGGAAAGCTCAAGGTTTCTGCTTTTCTCTTCTTCTTCTTTTTTTTGTACCTCTTGCATTCACAACTATGCATACTAAACTTGTCTGTGTATAATCATCTTTTTTTTGTAGAAAATGCAAAAAAAGCAGCAGATGTCGCTGCTTGTATCACTCGTTGAGATAGAGAAAGCAGCTAGGGAAGTACTTGATGTACTTGGTTTGCTCACTACCCTGAGCTATGCCGAGATTTTGAAAGAAATGAAACAAAAAACACTAACAAGAGCAGGATTGAGCGAAGAAGCTATTTCGCAGAAGATAGAAGAAAGGATAATGGCGAGGAAGAATAAAGAGTTTGAGAAAAGTGATCAGATTAGAGCAGAATTGACAGTAAAAGGTATAGCATTAATGGATATTGGCAAAGAAACTGTGTGGAGGCCATGCTTCCCTTCTCAGCCTAATTCCAGTGATTGAGCAAAAGAACAGAGAGATGGAGATAGTCAACTTCCCAAAGTCAACACTTTCTTCATTTCTCTGATTCTTCTTCGTTAGCCTTTGTTTGAGGCTCTTTCTTTATAACTTTGCTTTTGAAGTTGCGCCAATGACTCCTAATAGATACTTGTTGTTTTTTTTTTGTTTGTATCTTAATATTTACAATGACAGTTATATCAATTGTAACAATGTTCTACTTTGGATACTGTTAGAGCCGAGTATGATCTCAATTGGAATCACAGACAAAATCTCTGTTTTGTTGATTACATGAACATCTTTCATTTCTCTCTAGTAGTTCAATGTTAAATGAAAACAAGTAAAACCTGTTCTCTCCCTACTCTATATACAGAGATTCTACAACTATTTATCATGCCGTTCAAAAATCATCTAAAGACATCGTATCAACACTTGGTTTCACGTAGAGTGAGAGAAGAAGACAAAACCACCCTTTTCATATTGAATATGTAGATTCGTTCTTCTTGAATAAGGCGTAAGCGTCACTGTAAATGGCGATTGCGTTGGAGAACACCGCAAGAATGATCATGAAAATGGCTATAGTCTTGTCCCTGTTTGTTGCTCGGTTATGACGATCCCTAAAAGAAACACAAGAGTTACATTCAATAACACGATTCAGTAGGTTCCAAAACGAATCTGAGCATTATGAAGCGTTGGATCTTACTTTAAGATAACAGCAGCAGGGAATATGAAACCGAGGCAGACAGAAGCGGTTGCTCCAGTAAACTGGAAAGCATCCCAAATGCTTGGAATGTAGTTTGCACCGACAAAGATCACTGCAATGAGACCGGCAGTGATAGAGCCAAACCTCAGATTAGAGTTGGTAAGAGATGGAGCCGTAGGGAATAAGAGACCGTCGATGTTAACCCGCAGAGGATAGAAAACAACAGGGAACACAAGCATGAGATGAGCTGCGTAGCTAAATCTCACTGCGTCGTTTAGTACCGGACCAAAAGGGATTCCAAGATCGGTATCGAAGTTTGCAAGAATGTCATCTAGAGTAGCTTCACCAAACAAGAGGTATCCGAATAAGCTTGTCATGATGTAAACAGAAGAGCACATGGTAAGAGCTGATCGAACAACAGGTCTGATCTCACAGGCGTCTTCAAGCTCGTTCTGTATGCTGTGAACTGAAACAACCAAGTTGAAATGGAACCATTAGGTTCATATTTTGATTCTTCTAATGTAGCTGGGGAAAAAGCGTTTCGAGTGTGTACCGTTATAATGACAAATGTATGCGTTGACAAGAACAGGAACAACAGTGAAGAGTTTCCAGAATGAGGCCAAGTCAGTGACATTTGGTAGAAGTCTTGGCATCATCAAACCATCAGTGAACAGCTTTATGATGACAATTACCGCAGTGATGACAAGGAAAAAAACCGCTAGAGCAACTGATATGGCAGATGTGAATCTCAAAGAATCTGCAATGAAGCATAAACGATTATAGTCATGAAGCAAAGAGTCTTATACAACAGAACTTGAAGAAGAAGAGAGACATATTACTAACCAATCCGCTTGAAGCATGTCAATGGAGCAAGCACAAAGAGAGTAGTAATAAGAAGAACAAAAGTTCTTCTGTTCCACCAATTTTCCCCAAACCATCCATCAAGCATACCAGCATGGTGGATTCCATATACATTCTTTCCAGCCAAAACATCACCTTCAAGTCGAAAGAAGACAATAACCACTATCAAGATACTAACAGCAAATCGAATATAAATCTAGAACAAGTTACATTTCTGCAATCAGAATCAAATAGCGATCAGATAAGTACCAATGATGAACAGTATCTATCAAGATCCAAAGAGAACAAGCTATAAGACTATCAAGAAACTAACAGAAAGTTCAATTTCTGCGATCAAAACCAAAGAAGGATGAGAAAAGTACCAATGATGATCATGTAAACGATCAATACGCCAATGTTGCTAACAAGAACAGCAACTTGCAACATAATCCTTCCAGGTTTGCCAAAAGAATCTTCCATTAAGCCACCGTAAGATCTTTTTCTCCCGATTCTACTAAACCTAAGCAAGAACTCAATCGTTGTATCGGTCAAGAAAGCCATTAATACGATCATTGCGATTCCGAGAACAAGCCCAAGGATCTTCATCGTCGCAGGCAAAGCCATTATACCAGCACCGATGATTGTTGTGGCCAGATTGAAAACCGCTCCACCGAAAGAAGCTCCGTTGAATTCGTCGTGATGAGAAATCTCGTCGTCTCTCTCCGATTCTTGCAGCAGTGGACCGGTAGTATCATCGGAGGAGATGATCCGATTATCTTCAATCGCCATTGTTCCGTTGACTAAGAATATCTCGGAAAAGCATAAAGCAGCGAAGAACCTCGACGATATCAGCGATTCTGTTAAAAATCCATTGAAACGCATTATAGCACTGAATCTTTGAATACCATACACAATAAACAGGAATCGAAGACGTTGAAGTTCGATTCAACTGATAAGAGAAGTAGAAATCGAAACCCTAGTTTTCGAAATCGAATTGTTTCTCGAGATCCAGTTGGAATGTGTTCGGAATATGATGATTTCACCAGGAAAAAACTTGTAAGATCTATAAACCCTACCTTGAATTAACGCGCGATTCCAGAAACAATGGAGATGATTGAAAGATATGAGAATTGGGTTTCTGCGAAGAAGACGTATTGGGGGAAGAAGAAGAACCAGAGAATGGGAGGTGAAGGAAGACGAGGGAAATTATAGTTCGTGATATTTGGCGCTGAAGCAATTAAAAAGACACATTTTTGAACGAAAATATATTTTCTAACGTTTTATTTTTTTCATTACTCAACATTTTCTAGTGTTTTTTATTTTTAGTGTTTAAACATGATTTGATATTATGATTATGTGACCTAACAGAGAAAGAAGAAACATATTTTTTCAGTTCCACACTCTCTTAATTCATGTCCATTCAAAAAGAAGTGATTTGTGGTGGGAAATCGAGTTTTTCAGTTACAAAGAACAACAAAACTGGACTAAAAACATAGTAAATGAGAAACACACCAAGCTAAACATGAAACAAATCACAGAAATCTAAACCAATCCATATAGAGTAAGATAATATTTTGATGCTTTCTCTGAAATCTAAACCTTTTTTTTGATGTGCAGAAAGTTTGAAGTTGATATTTTTGGAGTTCGTATGGTTGCTTTGATTTTCTTCTTCAAGATTCTTTAGGTAGCCTATACAATCAAAAACATTATATTTATGCCAAGAATAAAAATAGTTAAATACTTTAGTTTTTTTTTTGTGATAAGCTTTAGTTTTATTCTTGAAATTTTAATTTCAAGTAATATCACTTTTATGTTTTTGTCTTCCACTATGTTCTCCAAACAAATTTTTTCATAAATCAGAAAATTACCTCTTAAATGAGTTCATGTGCTTTTAGCCTCTGCGTTTGTTTCGGCCAAAAGGGTTCATGAACCACTCCGGTTTGTAGCAAACAAGTATGTGATACGATTTGTAGAAGCAAAAAAGAGCTTAAAGATGAATAGGATAGATATTTGTATTTCAGAAAGATCAAGTTACACGACCTGAGAGAAAATGGAGTCTCTCACCTCTCTAACAACTTTGATCAATCTTTTGATGAAACAGACGCTAATACCAGTACTCACTCATATACTACGGAATCTCCTAAGACACGTCACCAACATTCTCCCAACACACCACGTGAGTCGTTGCAGCACCTCGGGATCCAAGTTACCAGAGTTTATTCCTTAACTATAGTTACCTCGCGAGTAAGGTTTAGGCGGATGTCGCCTCTCCTTCGTGGGCCTTCTTCCTCCTGCGGTACTGGTACAGAATTGGTGGATGTTGGGCCTCATAGCTATCAATACCCCCCCTCCCCCTCCGAAATTGACCTTGTCCTCAAGGTCGAAGTGAGGAAATTGGCCCTTAATCGTACTGACCCATTCCCAAGAGCATTCAAAGTCAGGCAGTCCCTTCCACTTGATGAGTACCTCAGCTTGTCCAGTGTTAACATTCTTCCGTGTACCCAAAACAGCTTCGGGCTCAGCTTCTAACACGCCATCTGCGGTCAACTGTGGTGGGATAGACACTGGTGATATGTCGGATCCAATCGCTTTCTTCAGCTGCGAGATATGGAAGGTGGGGTGAATACGAGCTTCCGGAGGCAAGGCAAGGCGATACGCCACTGCTCCCACTCGCGCAGCAACAGCAAAGGACCCATAAAAACGTGCAGCCAGTTTTTTGTTCGTTCTGCGAGCCAGGCTCCGATGGCGGTAAGGGCGCATCTTGAGGAACACCATATCGCCTACCGCGAATTCCACATCACGCCGATGCTCATCAGCTCTCCTCTTCATCACCTGTTGCGCCTTGTGGAGGTGTGTTTGAAGCAGGGACAGGGTGGCATCCCGCTCACGCAACTGCTCCTCCAAATCCGCGTTTGTCGTTGAACCGTTCTCATAACGCAGCAACGCAGGTGGATCACGACCATAGAGCGCACGGAAAGGAGTCATTTGAATAGCGGAGTGATACGACGTATTGTAGCTCAGTTCTGCCCACGCTAAGAACTTGGACCAGGCACGCGGCTTCTCGCTCGAGAAGCAACGCAGGTAAGTCTCGACGCCTCTGTTTGTGACCTCCGACTGCCCGTCAGACTGTGGGTGGTAGGCGGTGCTAAAACACAGGTTAGTGCCTGCCAGTCGGAACATCTCTTTCCAGAAACTGCTAGTGAAGACCTTGTCCCTATCAGAGACGATGGACCGGGGAAAACCATGCAGTTTCACAACCTCTTGCACGAAGATCACAGCTATATCAGTGGCGGAGAAGGGATGCTTCAGCTTGATGAAATGTGCATATTTAGTGAGCCGGTCGATGACCACCAAAATGGCGTTGTACCCCTCCGACCGTGGCAACCCCTCAATGAAGTCCATAGCGACATCTTCCCAGACACTTGAAGGTATAGGGAGGGGTTGAAGCAGACCATTCGGGGCCAGAGTCGAATATTTGTTCCTCTGACAAATCTGACAACCCGCCACATACCGACGTATCTCCGTCATCATCCCTTGCCAGTAAAACAGCTCGCCAATGTGTTTCTGAGTCTTGAGGACGCCACCATGGCCCCCCATCTTACCATCGTGGAACTCACGTAGTATCAACCCAATCAGCTGTGAAGTACGAGGTAATACCAGACGACCCTTGCGTAGCAGCCTGCCCTGTATCACCGAGTAGTCCGGATGAGAGTTGGGATCCTTGATGCACTCCTCCATTACTTTCCTTAAATCCGGGTCACGTTCCACTTCACCACAAATCTCCTCGAGCTGGAACGCGGCCGGAACCGACAATGCCATCAACTCCGTCGACACTCCCTTTCGAGACAGAGCGTCGGCTGCTTTATTCTCCAACCCAAGTCTGTATTCAATCTCGAAGTTGAATCCCAACAATTTAGTGAGCCAGCGTTGATACTCGACGTTGATTTCTCGTTGCTCCAACAGAAACTTCAGGCTTTTTTGGTCAGTGCGAACTAGAAACTTCCGGCCCAACAGGTAATGATGCCACTTCTGAATGGCGAAGACAATTGCCATTAGCTCTCGCTCGTAGACCGACTTGAGTTGTTGTCGCGGCGTGAGAGCCTGACTGAAAAAAGCAATAGGGCGCTGATGTTGCATGAGAACGTCCCCCAATCCGGTTCCTGAGGCGTCCGATTCGACCACAAAGAGAGAAGTGAAATCGGGCAATGACAGGACAGGCACGGATGTCATCGCGCGTTTCAGTTCCTCGAAGGCATTCGTAGCCGCCCCTGTCCAATGGAAGTTGTCTTTCTTCAGTAACTCGGTGAGAGGCCGGGCGACTTCTCTGTATCCGCGCACGAATCTCCGGTAATAACCGGTCAGCCCAAGAAACCCCCTCAACTCCTTGATGTTCTTGGGCTGAGGCCAGGTAGTCATAGCCTGAATCTTGCTGTCGTCAGCAGCTACACCCGCGGCCGAGATAACGTGGCCTAAGTATTCCACCTGAAGACTCCCGAACTGGCATTTTTTGCGATTAACATAGAGCTGATACTGATAAAGCACCTGTAACACCGTTCGGAGATGAGAGACATGCTCCTCCATTGTCTTACTGTAGACGAGGATGTCGTCAAAGAAGACGAGCACGAAACGTCGGAGGAAACGTCGGAAAATGTCGTTCATAAGCGATTGAAACGTCGCCGGGGCGTTAGAGAGGCCAAACGGCATGACCATGAACTCATAATGGCCGCCGTGCGTTCGAAAAGCGGTCTTCTGGACATCTTCAGCCTTCACGAGGATTTGATGGTAACCGGATTTCAGGTCGAGCTTCGAGAAGACCTCTGCTCCCCACAGTTCATCGAGCAGTTGGTCAATCATCGGAATGGGATAGCTGTCGAGCACAGTTGCCTTGTTCAAAGCCCGATAATCGACACAAAACCTCCAACTCCCGTCTTTTTTCTTGACCAAGAGGACCGGGCTCGAAAAAGGACTACTGCTGTCACGGATAATCCCAGCGGCAAGCATTGCAGACACTTGCTTTTCGATTTCCTCCTTCTGCGCTTGAGGGTCTCGAAACGGGCGGACACTCACTGGTTTAGCCCCCCTGCTCGAGAACAATAGCATGCTCTTTGCCCCGAGACGGAGGTAGACCCTGAGGTTCTGCGAAGACCCCCTCGAACTCCTCCAGAACACCTTGTAACACCCCCGGAACCGGTGTGACTGGAGTCTCCGTAGTCTGGAGACCGCTAAACTCCACGAATACTCCTTCTCCCTGTTGTGCCAACGCCTTCCACAAAGACTTCAGTGAAATCGGGGCACTACACAGACTAAGATCGCCCTGTAAGCACACCTTTACTCCAGCAATTTTGAACTTGAGTATCTGCAACTTCCAGTTAATCTTCGTCGTGCCCAACGTCTCCAACCATTGCGCACCCAAGATCACATCTGCGCTACCCAGTTCAAGGGGAAAGAAACTGGTAGTCACGGAGTAATCCTGCATTACCAAGGTCACATTCCGACATAGCCCTTTGCCACGCACAATGATACCGGTACCCATCAGAACACCGTACCCCGAGGTGGTGTCAATCGCCAACCCCAACTTCTGAACCATCTTCTCGGATACGAAATTGTGAGAGGCACCGCTATCAATGAGCACGATGACTTCCTCCGTTAGAATCGATCCCCTGAGTTTGATCGTCTGCGGGGAAGATATGCCCACCATCGAATTAAGAGAGAGCTCAGCGAGCTCGGTCATAGGGGCGTCGACCTCCCCTTTTGTTGCCGCGACGAAATCCTCGATGTCGACCTCCGTGCCATCGTCCTGCAACACCAACACCTGCAGCTCCGGCACCGATCATTCGTGGTTGTTGTGGTACTTCTCGTCACAACGGAAGCACAAACCTTCTGCGCGCCACTTCGCGACCTCCGCCGGAGTCAGACGGCAGAACGGCGGCTTCAATCGGTTGTGGTTGTTACTGTTGGGTCGTGGACCACCGCCTCTACCCTGATATGATCCCCCTCCAGCTCCTGGGTTCGTTCTGGGCTTAGACGAAAAGGACCCACTTCCCTGGATTGGGCCGAAATGTTGGTGAGGCCCAACAAACGCCCCCTGTTGACCCACGTGATGAGCAGTCGTGCTGCGGGACCCCATCGATTTGGTCACGCATCCGCCACCACCTAACGTCGTTTCCGAGAGATCCAGTAGGGCCCACTCCTCCACCAGTTTGGACGCACTCATCATGTTCTCCAACCCTCGGGCCCCCAACATCCGTACACCGGCCTTGATCTTAGGTTTCAAACCGATAAGGAACGTCATCTCAAGCACCCTCTCCGAAATCTCTGGCGCGTTGGTAGCCAATGCGATAAACTCGCGACAGTAATCACGAACCGTCCCCTCCTGTCGCAAAGTCAGCAGCCGCTCGCCGGCACTGGTATCCGCCGCCGCGGCGAACTGAGTCAGGATCCGCATCTTGAGATGGTCCCAACTCCGGAAGGGATTGCGATCGCGTTCCCAACGAAACCACGACAGAGCATCACCTTCGAAACACATCCGAGCTGCTCAGAGCTTCTCGCCTTCGGAAAAATCCTCCAGCTCGAAATATTGCTCCACACGCATCACCCAACTTTCCACGCGGTCGCCATCGAACATCGGGATCTCGATCCTTCGGGTAAGAGGTTTGTGACCCTCCTGAGACCCGGCCCACGGAGGACTCTGGGGAGAGAGAGCTCCGCGACGTACCGACCCTTCGATCCCGCTGTCCTGCGCCACCGTAACTCCCAACGGAGTAGCTACCGGATCAGAGACCGCTGGAACTTCCTCCTTCTGGCGTCGATCCTCCTGCTGCTCACTCCACTGCTGCGCCATACGTTCCAGCACACTCAGCTTTCTGATCTGCTTGCGCATCTCCTCGACAGAGCTCAGCTGCTCTTTGATTTCGTGGACACAGTGGAGTTGCCCACGGATCTCTTCAACCGATCGTTCCAGGGCTGCGATCTTGCCAGGATCCGCCGAGGAGACCTCCACACCCTTCTCTACGTCGCTTCGCTTTGGTGCCATAGACGGTCCACAGTCACGTACCGCTCTGATACCAAGTTGATACGATTTGTAGAAGCAAAAGAGAGCTTAAAGATGAATAGGATAGATATTTGTATTTCAGAAAGATCAAGTTACACGACCTGAGAGAAAATGGAGTCTCTCACCTCCCTAACAACTTTGATCAATCTTTTGATGAAACAGACGCTAATACCAGTACTCACTCATATACTACGGAATCTCCTAAGACTCATCACCAACATTCTCCCAACACACCACGTGAGTCGTTGCAGCACCTCGGGATCCAAGTTACCAGAGTTTATTCCTTAACTATAGTTACCTCGTGAGTAAGGTTTAGGCAGATGTCGCCTCTCCTTCCTGGGCCTTCTTCCTCCTGCGGTACTGGTACAGAATTGGTGGATGTTGGGCCTCATAGCTATCAGTATGTATCCAATCGTTAATCCAAAGACAATACCAGGTCCAAATCCTATTGCAGCTGCTATCCAACTAAAACCCTCTTCTTCATCTTCCTCTGGCTCTGGCGTTTCAGATTGGTGTGGTGTTGTCTCACGTTTATCTACACAAACTTCTTCAAGTGAAGGGCCATAAAGACCCGGTTTGTCCTCAAAAGATGAGCAAGGCTGCCTTCGAAACTGAGTGCCTCCTGGTACTGGACCTACAAGCCGGTTATGAGAAAAGTTCATGTACGCAAGGTACGAGAGCTTCCCTAAATCTTGTGGAATTTCTCCTGAAAGCTTGTTTTGAGAAACGTCTAGTGATTCGAGCTTTATCAGGTTCGCCATAGATGATGGGATGTGGCCAACGAAAGCATTGTTTGACATGTTAAGCACATGAAGCTCTTTTAATAGACCAATGGACCTTGGAATCTCTCCTTCAAGCTTGTTTACCGAAAAGTCGAATGCTGTGTAGATTTTTAGGATACGTACAAACTCCAACTCTACACCTTTGTTCACCAAAACCACTGAATCATGGTAATAGCCATATTCCTCTTGCATATACTTTAGATTTGATTGATCTTCGTTTGTCTCCAGTGAGGACATAGAACTCCAGTCCACAAAGGAATCTGGTGGCAAAGTTCCACTGAAGTGATTATGAGATATGTCAATGATACGCAGCTTAGAAAACCGAGTTTGCTGAATCGGTCCATGGAATGCATTGGCGCGAAGGACAAGAACTTGTAGCTCTTGAAGAGAACTTAACCAGAAAGGAAACGTGTCATTGATTTCATTGTTTCCCACGTTCAGAACTTCAAGAGTAGATAAACTGACCAAAGATCTTGGGAGTTTCCCTACCAGCTGGTTATGGCTTACGTCAAGTGACCTTAGGCTGTGAAATATTGTTGTGGGAAGACTTCCATTGAGACGGTTCCCACGAAGGTTCAGAACTGCAAGAGTATCCTTGAGATTTTCCATGCAACGAGGGATTGGGCCGTTGAACTTGTTGTCTGATAAATCAAGAGTATTTAGAGAGCGCAACACACATATGAAAGATGGAATCTCCCCAGAGAAATAGTTCTTAGACCCTAACAAAAACTTCATAGATGTTAACGGGAAAGAGAATAATCCAGGTTTCGTTGATCCTTCAAAACCGATGAAAAAGTTGTTGGAAAGATCCATGTGCATCAAATTTGGTAATGTCCATAACCAACCAGGCACTTGACCTTTTATTTTGTTGTTGGAAAGGTCTAGTGAAGTTAGACTTTGGTGCTTTTTTATGAATTCTGGAACCCTTGTGATACCGCATGCTGACAAAGTTAACGTTGTCAATGGATTTGATGGAAGATCATATACTGAATGCTTCTCAAAACTGATGTCAATGTTGTTGGAAAGGTCAACGTATCTCAACTCTGGTAGATTCCATAACCAGTCTGGCACTTGATCTTTGATAATGTTGTTGGAAAGGTCTAAAGCTGCCATTTTTTGCTGGTGTTTTATCAACTCTGGAAACTCTGTGATGTTGCAGCCTGACAACCTCAAAATAGATATCATCGATTGCGATGGAGGATCTGAAGTTGAACTCTTGTTTGCGTCTGAAACTTGGTTGCTCGAGAGAACCAATTGAGAGAGCGAATTTAGACATGATAAGTTTCATTCAAGTCGATCATAGTGGTGGTGTTCAAATGGGACAGATCAAGGTCTTTAAGTGACTTGAGATGCGAGAAGCTACAAAAGTCAACTGTTGTTTTTTCTGTATTGAGATTGGAAAGGTCAAGGCTCTCAAGATTGATCAATCTTGAAATAGATTTTGGGATTGGCCCTTTGAAGTTGTTGTTGCCAATGTACAACGCTTTTAGCTTAGATGGTGAAGATAGATTCCCAAACTCAAGAGGGCCATTGAGTTGGTTATCACCCAAAAATATAGAAGTCAAATTATGAATGTTGAGAAGAGAAGAAGGAAGGGTTCCAGTGAAAGCGTTGTCAAATGCAGAAATCATTGTCAACTTGGAAAGTGAGCTCATGTTAGGAGGAAACGTGCCAGTGAACTGATTTTGAGAGAGTTCTAAATTTGTCAACTCTGTCAAGTTCAGTAACTTAGTGGGAAAGTTACCGGTAAGCTTGTTACGTATTACACGTAAGCTAGTCAACTGGTTCAAATTTCCAAAGGAAGATGGTATTTCACCAGAAAGCTGATTATAAGAAAGGTCGATATCCGTTAAGAGTAAAAGGTTTCCAATCGAAGAAGGAATCAAACCACTAAAATTATTAGAAGAAAGAGGAAGTTTGGTGAGCTGAGAAAAGTTTCCAATTGAAGAAGGAATCAAACCACTAAAATCATTGAATGAAAGTTCAAGAGTGGTGAGATTAGAAAGGTATCCGATTGAAGAAGGAATCGTACCACTGAAACGATTATGAGAAAGGTCAAGAGTGGTTAGAGAAGAAAGATTTCCAAATGAAGATGGGATCTTTCCAGAAAATTCACAGTACTTAAGTCTCAAAACACTAAGATGTCTGAGGTTGCTAATAGAATCTGGAATGTTACCGGAAAGAGATGTGGAAGAGAGGTCTAATATTACAAGAGAGTTATTTCCATAAAACTCTGGAAGAGACCCTTCTAGATTTTGATTCATATCCACACTAATGGACTGTATGGTAGGGAGCAAGAAAAGATCATGTGGAACTTTCCCCAGTAAACTGCAACTGCGGAGGTTTAAAGATCTGAGAGAGTTTAGTTTTGAGATATTTTGAGGAATTTCTGAGGAAATGTTAACCATGCGAAGGTCTAACTCCTCTAGGTTTGTCATATTATGAGCAAGTTTGCTAAAAACTGACTTTTCAAAAGATAAAAGAAAGTTAAAAGAAAGATCAAGACACACCAACTTGGTAAGCTGAAGAAACTCTGTTGGAATTTGACCAGAGAAAGAAGAAAAAGACAGGTTGAGCTGTGTTAGCTCCATGAGTTTATTGAATTGAGTTGGTATGAGAGAAGAGTTGAAATTGTTGTAAGCAAGATTGAGGGAACGCAGGCTCTGGAGTCTAAAAAGACTACTATTGGAATCGAAGCGGCCATAGAAGCAGCAACTAGCATTTAGCTCAATCACTTCCCCGGACTTGGCATCACATGTGATACCGTCCCAAGAGCAACAATCCTCTTCTTTATCCCAGTTCTTTGCGCTGCACAGATCATCAGAGTAGAATGAACAAAAATGCTCAGGAACATTTTGAAATTCATTCTTGAAATCGAGAAGAAGATCCCTTTGGTTGGGATGACACAAGAGACCAGTAGGAGTTGCAGCAAAAGTGTTTAGAAAAATCGAAATGAAGAAGAGAATGGTACTCGCTGAATACAAAGACTTTTTCATCTTCTTTAAGTACTATTCATACAAAGTATGGTATTTGTGATGAAAATATAGTTTCCTACTAACCTCTTTATATAGACACACACACAATGATATATACGATACCAACTTGGCGCACTAATTAGAGTCTCTCAGTTCTCTATATTCAATGCAAAATTAATCACAAACAGAAACGTTGACTTGGTATATCAAAATTAGGTGGGAAGGGTAGATATAATAATCGATTGTTCACTGGATCAAGGTTTTTCCCCCACAAAATTTCACATTAGTGGGTCCTTTCACTCGAAGATAAGATAAGCTCAGAATTTTGCAGCTGAATATTTTGACTCATTCTCTCATGAGCTTAGAATTGAATTTTTGTGTATCAACTAGGTTTAACGGCTAAAAAGAGCGCCCAAAAAAAATACCTTAAGAACATTTTCAACAGTTTTTTTTGCAAAATGTTGCAAAAACAGCAACTGAAGCTATCTTAGATTTTAAATGCAGCGATTGTGTGCCTACACAATAAAACGCGATGGCTCTTGTTGAAGATGTAGAAGACATTTGAAAGATGGAAGATATAAGCGAACACAATAAATTTGAAATATAAAAAGCTAAGCCGGAAACAAGAGCGGAAATTAGGACATATAAAACTGGGACATAACTGGTTGCTTTCTCTCCAAGCTTATGGAATAGTCCATTAGTGTTGGAGGTAGGTTTAGCACCTTTTATTTAGCCCAACAGACCCATCAAAATCCACCAACATTACAATTTCGGCCCATTAGCAAAACCCACGAAGTCAACTCACCGTCATCACATCATCTACTCGCTCACTATAAATAGAAGAGAGGAAGAGACTAAGAAAGAGGAACCTAGAATGGAGAAGAAAACAAGCTCGTGAAGGAATGAGAATATCCACCTCGCCAAATTTACCATCACCTCGCCAAAATCACCACCACCCCACCGCCGTATCATCAAATTCACCTCACCTTGTCACCTCGTCAAGCTGACCTCACCTCGTCACCTCATCAAGCTGACTTCACCTCGTCACCTCGTCAAGCTGACCTCACCTCGTCACCTCGTCAAGCTGACCTCACCTCGTCACCTCGTCAAACTCACCTCACCTCGTCACCTCATCAAGCTGACCTCACCTTGTCACCTCGTCAAGCTCACCTCACCTCGTCAAACTCACCTCACCACCTCGTCAAACTCACCTCACCACCTCTTAAACTTTGTTCTTATTTCGTTATCGACCTAAACTTTATTTAACAGAAAATCAACGCATTTTTTTAGGCAAAGACTCCGTATCTCCGAACTCTCCAACATAAGTTGACTTGTTTGACCCGTGCGATCCCACATTCAACAAATGGCGCGCCAGGAAGGGGGGCAAGAAGATTTTCTACACCCCAAAGCAGTTCGGCAATGTTAAGAACCCAGCTGACCTCGCCAAAAGAAACCATGCATAATTGAGCTAACCTCGTAGCTCATCGACATCAAACAAAGGAACTCACGTACAAACAAGATAAGTGTTGAGCCAATTTCATTTTTTACTCTCTTTTCTTAAAGCCGAGCTCATCTAGCCAAATCGTAGTTACAACGTAACTCGCTGAAATACCTCGACATCATTGACATCGACATCCTAGCTAGATGCGCGATCCATAAAAAATGCATTCCCAGTAGTGCAATTTCTTATAAGTCCTAAGGAACAAAAACCTTATGACTATACGAAAGTAAGCCGGGCCCAGTCCCGCATAATCTCTTAGATCGCACGAGTAAAAATGCCGAACACATCTTCGCTACTCGGATGCGATCTAAGAAGCTAACAGGTGGGCCGATCTAATATTCTCACCTACAGCATACTAAACCGAGTCCTTACTCGTAAACAAAACAGGATAAGCCGAGGTCTTACCTCACACCTACAGATCTAATAAGCCGAGTTCCCACTTCGCATTTATTTCAGTCTATATATATATGTTCGATTAACCAAGTTCAAACTCGCATTATATTACTCGTCAATCTTGTAGCTAGATAGCTCGTCAACCTCGCAGCTCGTCATCCTCGCAGCTTGTCGACCTCACAGCTCGTCGACCTCGCAGCTTGTTGACCTCGCAGCTTTGCGGATCCTCGTCTATACGACTTTGAGCTCGTCAATCTCGCAGCTTGTCGACCTCGCAGCTCGTCAACCTCGCAACTTGTTGAACTCGCAGCTCGTCGACCTCGCAGCTTGTCGACCTTGCAGTTCATCAACCTTGCAGCTTTGCGGCTCCTCGTCTATTTGACTTTGAGCTCGTCAACCTCGCAGTTTGTCGACCTCGCAGCTCGTCAACTTCGCAGCTTGTCGACTTCGTAACTTGTCGACCTCGCAGCTCGTCGACCTCGCAGCTTGTCGACCTCGCAGCTTGTCGACCTTGCAGTTCATCAACCTTGCAGCTTTGCGGCTCCTCGTCTATTTGACTTTGAGCTCGTCAACCTCGCAGCTCGTAAACCTTGCAGCTTGTAAACCTCGCAGCTTGTCGACCTCACAGCTCGTCAACCTCACAGCTTGTCGACCTCGCAGCTCTTCGCATATCTTGCAGTTCGCCAAACTCGAGCAACTCTCTTTCAACGAACTGGGGGGAGGGCAATTGTTGGAGGTGGGTTTAGCACCCCTTATTTAGCCCAACTGGCCCATCAAAATCCACCAACATTACAATTTCGGCCCATTAGCAAAGGCCACGAAGTCAGCTCACCGTCATCACATCACCTACTCGCTCACTATAAATAGAAGAGAGGAAGAGACCAAGAAAGGGGGATCTAGAATGGAGAAGAGAACAAACTCGTGAAGGAATGAGAACACCCACCTCGCCAAATTTACCATCACCTCGCCAAAATCACCACCACCTCGCCAAATTCACCATCACCTCGCCAAAATCACCACCACCCCACCGCCGTCTCGTCAAGCTGACTTCACCTCGTCACCTCGTCAAGCTGACCTCACCTCGTCACCTCGTCAAGTTCACCTCACCTCGTCAAGCTCACCTCACCTCGTCACCTCGTCAAGCTGAACTCACCTCGTCACCTCGTCAAGCTGACCTCACCTCGTCACCTCGTCACCTCATCAAGCTGACCTTACCTCGTCACCTCGTCAAGCTCACCACACCTCGTCACCTCGTCAAATTCACATCGCCATCTCGTCAAACTCACCTCACCACCTCTTAAACTTTGTTCTTATTTCGTTGTCGACCTAAACTTTATTTAACAGAAAATCTCCGAACTCTCCAACATAAGTTGACTTGTTTGACCCGTGCGATCCCACGTTCAACAATAAGGTCGATGGATTTTCTTCTTCGAGATCTTTACCTTGGATTATTTATGAAAGCTATACAAACAAATTTACGTTATTAAGTTTATTTTCAGATATTCCTTCCATCCATATCTTTAGCTTGGATTGTTTCTGTTCTTTCACATCTAGCCATTACCTCTCTAATCAGTTTTGTTACTTTTAATGATTTTGCCTTTGTTTCGGCCAAAAGGGTTTATAAACCACTCTAGTTTGTAGCAAAGAAATATGTATTCAAGCCTCGTCGACTCCGGTCGGACTATTGACCCACAACCCAAAAGTTTTCCCGGTTCGGTTGCCTATCTAGTTTTAAAACATTACTTATTTGTTACCATTCAATTGTGGTGCATTCATGCAATTTTAAAATTAAAATTTTGAAAGTACGCATGCGGTCCATAATAACTTAGCAACAACTATTTTAGACAGGTTTCCAAAAAGCTTAAAGCTTTTTCAGTTTTCATTAAAGTAGTTCAATAAATTTTTAGGTGGAAAAAAATCGCATTTTGTATTTATTTTTCCTTTATATAAATATTCACATCCTAGCTGCATGATTGTTAGATGCTTTTACATTGGTTTGACCCAATTGAAGAAACCGGGGTCCACTCTGTCCTCTACTAGTCTATATGAACACTTCTTCTCTTCACGCACCAAAGATTCATCACAACTCCTAATCCTCTTATCTTTCGTCTCTCTCTTATCACCTAAGAAAGAGACCTACCTTGCGTCCCAAGTCTCCACCAATAATGCAACCATCAACCAACATTTTCAGCCTCCACGGTTGCCCACCTTCGTACCTTTCCCATTTCCCTACATCCTCGCCATTTGGCGTCAATGGGCAAAACCCTAATTCATTCTACAGCTTCCAAAATAGTATAAACACTCCACAGTTCATGAGCAGCAATTACTCCACCTCGGATGAAGCAGAGGAGAATCAGAGGGATATAATCAATGAGAAGAAGCAGAGGAAAAAATTATCAAACAGAGAATCAGCAAGGAGATCACGTATGAGGAAGCAGAGACAGCTTGATGAGCTTTGGTCACAAGTGATGTGGCTTAGGAATGAGAATCATCAGTTGCTTCATAAGTTTAACCGCCTCTTGGAGTCTCGCGAGAAGGTTATTGAAGAGAATGCTCAGCTCAAAGAGGAAACTTTTACTCTTAAGCAAATGATTAGTGATATGCAGCTTCAAAATCAGAGCCCTTTTTCTTGTTTAAGAGATGACATTGTATAGATGGTTTAAAAAGGCTTTAGTATGTATCTAAAGATGTATATCCAGAGATTTATCTCAGATAAGGACGTTAAATTGGTAAATTACTCTTTCTTTTTTTGAAAAAAGAAATTTCTGAACTTTTGTTGCATTTGAACGAAGGCACGCAATTGTTGCGTTTGCATTTATGCGATATATATCGAAATACAAAACATTTTTAGTTTTATAAACTGTAAACGCAATGTTTAAATGCAAATAGTAGATTTTTGGTCTGCGATTAACGTTTTTGCATGTTTACAATTAACCAAAAAAAAATGTTTAAAGAATTTGGTAAAAAGAAAAATATGTTAAAAATGGCTTAGAATGTGAATTTATATGTAGAAGGCCTTATAGTGACTTAGTGAGTGCGAAAATTTTCCAAGTCTGGCTATATAAAGCTGAAAGCTAATATGAAAGTCTCTAGGCCCACCAAGAGTTTATCAGAACAATATGTTTGGAACAAACTTGGTATTGGTAGCGCATGGACGTAAAATATTGTTTTGCATGGACTTAGAAGATGTACGGCCTTCAGTCTAGAGTTTTATGATTAATCCTATATAAATAAATAAAAATGCTGTGTTTTGTGGCAAATCACATTTCATATATAGATCTTAACTGCTTCTTAGACCCACAAAAGCATATATTATATATATAACTATCGAAGAGGGGTGTGGTTTTCACAAGCTACCCCAATATACTCGTTTATGCTCTGGTTAGCTATTCAGAATCGACTTGCCACAGGGGGACAGGATACAGGCATGGAATGCAAATGCAGATAATAGCTGCAGGTTATGTGGAAATCTAACTGAGACCAGGAATCATCTGTTCTTCTCCTGCACTTATTCAGAGAAAGTTTGAGGGAAGCTCGTCAAAGGAATTTTGGGTAATGAGTTTACTTGGGAATGGGACAAGATAGTTGCCTTGGTGGTGAAGCCTCCTTTGGACAAAACATCAAGTTTCCTTCTCCGATATACCTTTCAGATTACAGTTCACTTTATATGGAGAGAGAGGAATAATCGTCGACATGAGAAAAAACCTTCTCCAACGTACAAAGTGTACAAAATAGTGAAGATCGTGGATAAGTCAATCCGAAATCAACTTTGTGCTATAAGAAATGCAGGGGATAGGTGATATGATGATGGGCTCCAACGCTGGTTTGCAACCAGACAAGTTCAAATTTTTTTCATGATCACATTATTTGATTATTTCTGAAATTTTTTGATCAAAGTTAAGCAACAGTTATTTTTTTTTGAATATAATTTAACATTAGTTTAAAAAAAAAGAAGAGGCTTTGAACTAAGACACGTGATCAGAGTTTGTGTTACCTTAGAGAATCCAAGACCCTCCACTTTACTCAATCTAAGGAAAGGAAGACAAATAAACAATCTTACGTAAGGAGACCCTTTTCAGTCAAGAAAACAAACGGCTTTTTCTCCAATTCGTGTGGCGAGAAACTTACAGGACAAGAAAACTATGAACGACCAGTAAGATCGTAGGACATAACGTAAGTGGATGATTGAAAAGAGGCTCGTGATTGAAACAGACGACGAAAGATATATAGAGACAGCTTTTCCAAACCACCTCAAAAGTTGGAGAAATAGATTAACAATACACAGCACTTTATAGTCAAGACAGGATGAAAGAACGACTTTAATTTTACTATTATTATTATATTATTAGTATTAGTATTATTATTATTATTATATAACTTTTTTTTTGTAAATCATGAACGGTTTGGTTATATCACTATCAGTATCCTTCTTTTTTCACTTTGATTATTGCATAATGGTTCACAATCTCAGTCTATATATACGTGTGCATGGGCAGATATTAAATAATAAATATTAAAATACATACTTTCATCTTACTTATGAATTAAAAAAAAAATGGTAACATAAATTGGGTAAGTTGTTTCTATCCTGTTAAATGCATTTAACTTGTTTTCTTTTTCTTTTGGACTTTATCTATATTTTTAATGGATGCAAGTTCCAAATTATAATGGGTACAAATACAAAATTAGCTAACAAGTACCTAAATTTTTATAAAAAAAGTACATAAAATTTTAAATATAATGGATGCATCAGTGCATGTGCACCCTCCATACACATTAGCTGGGAAATATATGCAGTATCTGATTCGGTTCATCATCTGTTTTAGTCGATTCGATTCAAAGCATTCAGATAACCAAAAGTTAAGAAGAAAAACAAATAGTGAACTTTAATATCCATCCCAAGAAAACAACTCTTAAATACTAAAATTAAAAAGTTTTCCTTGTGATGGTTATTAAAGCTCACTATTTGCTTAAAATTTTACGTTGGAACAAAAAATAGTGACCCGTGTTTTTGGCGATTTTTAACTATATGGAACGTTTAAAATTTAATAGTTTTTCTTGTGATGGATATTAAAAATTTTCTTGTGATGGATAATAAAAACTATATGGAACGTTTCCTGTATTCAGTGGGATATTCAGATTTTAATGGATACGGACTAGCTCTGGAAGACTGGAACATATTCATGTCAAAAATACATCGATAAAAAAAAAATACATCGATCCCAAAAACGTAACCGGCCACGAAGTAAAAAAAAACACCCGATTAACTATGTACACATGTATGTGTAAAAAGTTACTAAAAGTAGAATATGTAATTAGGACAAAGATGTTTTTTCCTTTATTTATGTTACTTTGTCGTACTGTGATTGGTTCCTTTCAAAAGTTTTTCCCTTTCTAGTTTCTACAATAACGTGTGAATTTTATTTATAATTTTCTCTTAATTTTTTTTTTTTTAATTTATAACATGTGAATTTTTTTAATTCATCTGTAAACTATAAAATATATATCTTCTCAATTAAAAAAACAAAACTAACCAAATTTAAATGACACAACACTAGTACCAGTTACATACTATTAAATTACGAAGTCTAAGTAAATACAAATTTAGATTAGACATATTAAAATTTAACAGAATTGAGAAAAGACGTGGAATCTCGCGTGAGGCAGTAAACCCTTTACGAGGTGTTAAGTGAGGCTGTGATGTGTGGGTTTGTTTTATGCATTTAATAAAGACCATATAGATGGAGAAACTCTTTGACTAAATCGTTAAAACTGGGGAATTGAATTTAGCAACAAAGTTGCAACTATTAGATTTACATCTATATATTGTAGACACTTATGATGTAACTAGTATCCCAATATCTCTTAACATTATTGTTTTCTCAACATGCATTATACATATAACTACTTTTGAGAGTATTAGGTGTGAGATAGATTGTCACCGACACATATTGTATCTATGTTTTGCAACTGTTTTTTTTTTTGAATCTAATGATAAATTATATTAAAAAAAAAATATATAATGTTTTACAAACTTGTTTTAGCTTTGCTTTTACATTTTATTAAAGAACAGCAATGAAATCACACTTTGCTATTATCTTTGATGTGAACCAAATCTCCAGCCCATCTGTGTACCTCGTCATGCCATTACTGCGGATTGAACAAATCTGATTCCGAATCTGCTTGTCTATCATCTTCACCATCCTGAAGACCGTTGACGCCTCCTCGAGATTATGAGTATAAATTATGCTCGCCATGTTTCTTATTGCTTCGTTCCCTCCAAATCGCGTATACCGTGGCCTGGAAAGTGTATCGAAGTAAGAAAGTTGTGGTGGTGTTGACAGCATGAGTAAGCAGTGCCATACATCGCCCCCAATCACACTCAAATGAAATTAATCAAAAAATGTTTTTTTTCCCACTACATATAAAGATATATATATATATATGTATATATATATTGAACATTAGAAATTAAGTATATAATCAAACGATTCAGCTATCGTTTGGCTTTGATTTGAGAGATAATCTCGCGTACTCCTCCCGCATTATAGAAATTTTCAAATCTCCTCCTCATAATATTTAATTTGTTTTCGATTTATTTTAAAACAAGAAAAAGGAAGAAAATCGGTCAAATACTGGCAGATCCTTACTAAAGTTTCATATTTACTAACCCAACCACGAAGATCCACATCCAGTCTGTCATATCGGATTGAATCCGAAGAAATCGGGTTTATGGTCAAAAATTGGAGACAAAATTGTGGTAAGTCTGAGAAAAAAAAAATTCAAATTTCAAAATCGTCCTCTCGTCGTCGTCTTCGCCTAGTATTCTCTGGGACAACTAAGAGTGATTTGCTGCTGCCTGACTTAAGTCAATGCCTCGCTATATCAGGTTCGTTCGTCTTCGTCCTCTGATTTCTAATTTCTATCTAGATTACTTTGTAGATTTCAAGTCGGTTTTGTGTAGAATCCAAAATTCGATTTATATGTTCTCTATTCGGTTGGCAATTACAAAATAGAGTCATGGATTTAGGCAAGGAAAAGAGTGTTTAGATATGCTAGACTAGAACTTTACTCAGATTCCGAATCGTCGCAGGAGAAAATGGTTGAAGGAGTTGCCGAATCAGAGACGGGTAATAATCAGATAGTGTTGTGGAGGGGAACTGAGGCTGAGGCTGAGGAGGAGGAGAATCAGCCATTGCCACCCGTTAGAATGTTCTTCGAGCCCAGTCAGTATCATAATTCAATAAAGCTGGGAACAAGATGTTATATCCACAAAGCTGTTGCTAAATTGGAGTCCCTAGACCTTGAACCACATGAGCTGTTATGGTTTACAGAACACCCACAGTTCAAGCACTTTTGGCATATGCATAGGGCCATGCATGAGGACACAACACACAAGATGATGGGAATGTGGTTGCTTCTTCTTCGGACAGCAAACACAAATAAGAAGAGGGAAGCTTGGTTTGTAGTGAATGGCGTACCAATTCTCTATTCCCTTAGAGAGCATGCCATTTTGTGTGGATTAAACTGTCTTCCGTACCCAGAGGACTATGATAGCATAGGAAGTTCTTCGTTTAAGAATAGATATTTCCAGGAAACCGTCCCCTCCCTTGCTGCTGTTGAGAAAAAGCTAGAGTCAATGCGAGGACTAGTT